GATCAGGTTCCCCCTGGGTCTGGAAATCATTTGAATGCCGTTCGTGGTGTTTGAATGAACTAATACAACTTTCTCGTAATAACCATAGAGCGCACGTTTTTTGAGACATGACTCAGTGCACCCGAGCTGTGTGCGGTTTGCACCACTTATGAGACTAGCATTCAGCAATGGTAACATTTTGGGACGGTCGTGTCTCAGGATTTGGATGATTCACAGTGACTGTCACTGTAGGGAGGGCATTAAAGAGGTCAGCAGGCCTGGAGCCGTTGAGCTGATGAAAGGGCTATTCTGCTGGCATAACCAATGCAGCCGTCCTGAAAGAACTGATAGAGCAAGGAAAATAATTTGGGAAAGATGCAGACCTATGAACTCAAAGTGACCGGTCACTCATGTGCCAATGTAGCTTCTATATTGTTTTTATATGGCCCTTATCCATGCTAGCACCTGAGCATTTTCAACCAGGCTGGGATTTTCAGAGGTATCAAAGGGACTTAGGTCTTCCAGCCCCACTGAATATTGATAAGCAATCTAGATCTGTTGGCCCTGCCTGAGCATACCATGTGCTATCTATTTTCATGTGCAAGTCCTGTGCAAACTAATAGACATGTAATGCAAATACAGACGGCAGGATCAGCCTGACACAATGGATGAGACGGCAGATGTACCATGACCTGCAGCTTTGATCTTCCTTAGAAGGTGGAGTGTTTTATGGCAAGCTTGTCCCAAAGAACATGGTTAATGAAACTTCAGGGAGGATTTGATTTATTTTAAAAAGCTGTGCAGTTTGGAAACCATGCCCAAGGATTTCTGTAATGCCTACGATGAAGAGCCACAGAAGTCCAGCTCTGAACAGAGAGAGGTTCTTCCAAAATAAAAATAAAATTAACATGGGGAAATGATGAAAAAGAAAGAATAGATAAGCAGTGATATCGGTTCGGATCACTATTTGACAGGCATGTATTTGTTTGACGTTGGGAAGCTATAGGGTAAAACTGGGTAAAAGTAAAGACCTTCTTCATCATTTATGCTGATGGCATTTCTACAATGCCACAAGACAAGTGCGGTGCTGATTTGCAACCATTTGCACGCCCCGTTACACCGAGCGCGTTTCGTTCTTGTACGCAGCAAAGACTGGATTCTCTCCTGCTCGAAGGAATAAGCATCTCATCTTCTTGCAGCTTAAAAGAATGACTTCATGCTCTTCCAAGGACTTGGCGTAGGAAAATGCACAGCCTGTTTGCCAAGGCTTGAAGTGCTTCTCCTTTGGGTGGATTTGTGGTTGTACTGGTGTGCACGCAACCTCGCTCCCCTCGCCTTTGATCATGAATGCCCTTTCATAACGAAGGAGCTAACTACCTAAGGCGCTCCATTCAACCAGTGAATTGTGATGCATTAGATTCACTCTTCTTAACACTGGCTTTTATTTAAGGAAAAAAATTTTTAAAAAGCCTTTCAGGTTCCCTTCTGCCCTAGCCACTTCCTTTTACCTTGCTTCAACAATTTGTGAACAGTTGCCGGCGACCAAAAGTGGCTGCGAGCACAATACTGCGGTGTCTTGACCAGACAAGCTCTGAAAGAGGTAAATGTGGCTTAGCGATCCTCAACAAGGGTGCTACAGCACCCTGCGCTGCCTGGAGATCCTATCAAGGGTGCCGGGCTCTTGCTAGCCTGCTCAGGGTGCAAACCTGATTCACGTGATAAACCCAGAGGCTTCAAATGGGAATCCCAGGTGTTAAAACATCCCACCCTGAGTTTTGCAACAGATGAACTGCTGTTATAGTTTGGAGTCAAAAAAGGAGGGGAGGCCAAGGCTGGCATTTTCTCTGCATCTAAGAGGTTGACAGTGACTGGGTTCGAAGAGTGGGTTGGGGCAGCAGGCTGGGAAGGACATGGGTGTGAAGCAGGGGGTTCTGCAGAGTCACTCTGTAAGGGCAAGAGCTGCAAACTGGGCTGTCTGCAAATGCCCCAGCTCCCGCTTTGTGCCTGGGTGGTGGAAGGAGCTGTGGTGAGCATGGACTCCCCAGTGCTCTGCCAGCTCGAGCCCCATCCTCAGCCTGTCCCAGGGGAGGGCAGCTGTGCCTGCTTCTGCCTGCCCCCACCTGAGAAGCAGCTGCCCCTGCTGATCTCCACCCACCCCTGAGTCCTCCTAGCCCTGGGGGGCTTGCAGAGCAAGCTGCAGTGGGTGGAGGTGGCACAGGGCCCTGCAAAAATCCTGTGCCCCTGATGAGTGTGTGGGTGGGGGGAAACCAGCTGCCTCCCCTCCTGGCAAGGCTTCCCCTGCATCCCCAGTCTGGTCCCCTTTGCATCTCAGTCCAAGCCTTGCCTTTGACCCTCCTCTCCCGGGAGCTGCTTGCAGGCTCGGATGCTTCAGCTGCAGGCTGGCGCCCAAACTCCCTTGGCAGCTGGCACAAGGGGCTTTGTGCACTCCTCCTGCAGCCTCCCAGCACCTTAGGCTGTGCCGAGGACTTGGTGCGTGATCATTTGGTTGCAATTATTCCCTCCCCCCCTGTTCCTTTCCCCCCCTGTCTCCTCCCTCAGCCCCCTCCCCTTGCACCCTCCCCTCCTTTGGGGTATTATATTACGGCGTGAAGCAGCCCTGGATCCACAGTGCCTCTTGCCCACAGCCCGGGAGCACTGCCTCTCTCTTGCTGCTGCTCAAGATTAATTTTTTTTTCCTTTCCTTCTCGTTTCATCAGCAAAGAAGCAGCGGCTGCCAAGAGCTCTCTGCCTTGCTTGGCTAAAGGGTATAAATACCCTGGGGGGAGCTCCACGGGGATCAGTAGCAGCTGCTGAGACCAGAGCATTCATTGCCTCCACTGGGTCCTTTGCTGATCCTCTCTCTAGCTTTGAGAGATCTCCCCCCATCTCCTCCCCAGGCAGGAGCCACAACTTCTCGGGGACTCACAGAGGTAAGTGGAGGGTTGTGTGTGTGGTTGTCAGTGTGTGCCCCAGCCCCAGCTCAGTGTTGTGTTGCTCAGACATCACTGAATAACCTCTCTGTGGCTCACACTAGTGATGCTCCAGGTATAAATAGCTCGTGCAGGATTAGCAGCTGCCCTAACCTTGCCATGGATCTGGGTGGTATAACAGAGGGCTAGAAACCCACCAGCGAGTTGTCCACCTCTTAGCACCTACTGGAGGCTGTAGCAATCGCTCGCTGTTGATTGGTCATTTGTTGAAGCATCTAACCAATCATGTAGTCATCCTTTTACGCTTTTTTTAATATACAGGTAACTAACTGGATGAATTTGGCAGCACCCTGGGGTCCTAGCACAGTTAGGAGGTGTTTTTTAGCATGGCTTGGAGTAGCAAACTTTTCCAGTATTGCAGTTTGGGGGGTAGCAAGCTTTTCCAGTATTGCACTGGAGTGGGTATTATACTATACTGTACTATACTATACTACTTTAATGTAGAATAACAGAAGACGAGGGTTGGAAAGGACCTCAGGAGGTCACAGCTGGTCCAGCTTTTCCAGTATGGCACTGGAGTGGGTACTGTACTGTACTGTACTGTACTATACTATAGAATCAAAGATGAGGGTTGGAAAGGACTTCAGGAGCTCACATCTGGTCCAGTGGTTGTCACCCTTTTTTTGTACCAGGACCTATTTGTAAACATTGATGGTCAGTCCTGACCCACCCTGCAGTGTGCGGGGCAGGGGGTGGGTGGGTGGGGCAGGGGGTGGCCCCGAGCAGCCCCTTGCAGACTGGAGCTCTGCCGTCCTATAAGGGGAAAGCCACTGTTTCCCACATTTGTCTCCTTTAAAGGAGAAACCATTTCTGAAGTTTGCTGATCCATTTTAAAAGTGTGTTTGCAAACTTGTCATATATTCTTGTGACCCACGGGTTGAGAAATGCTGATCTAGTCCAGCCCCCTGCGCAAAGCAGGACCACCCCCAAGTAGATCATCCCAAAGCTTTGTCTAGGTAGGTGTTCAAAACCTAGAAGGATAGAGACTCCACAACCTCTCTGGGTAACCTGTTTCAGTGTTTTACTACCCTCCTAGTGAGACAGTTTTTCTTAATATCTAACCTCAACTTCCTTTGCTGCAACTTGAGACATTGCTTCTTGTTCTGTCGTCATATCAGCATAGAATAATGCATGGTGATGATGATGATATATCCAGAAGTTTACTCCAGGAATTTGCAGGTGGGGAGGTTTCATGTTGGGTTGTACAGATGCTCTGAGTTGCAGGATTTGTAATTTCACTCGGTATTTTCCTTTTTGGAAAAGGAAACCTCCGCACTTTTCTAAGCCTTAAATATGCCCGTGTTAGTTAAAAGTGACAGCCAAGGCTATATACCCAGAATATGCAGCAAGTGCAATGCTGGAATCCATCTGTGAGGATTAACAGCTCTGGTGGGCTGGTTTTGAAGTTGTGCTAAGTTAAGGCTTGAATTTCAATTACTGCACTGCTTGCTTTGCATAATATAGCAACACGTGTAATGTAATGTGGATGTATATCATCATACATAAGCAACCCATCCTAATCCGATAATTTAACTCGTGAACTTGTGGTCAATAGACATCAAGTATTATGCTCTGGAGAGGGCATCTATTCCACCCAGAAAGGCTGTGTGCCTCGAGTGGTAGGTTTTCAGCTCTCAGTGAAATCAGAAGACTTGCATTAGTGGAAGAAATAGCTTTCTATAAATAAGCTTTTCAAAGCCCATTTGAATTTGACCTCCTCAGATCTCAGGAAAAATAATGACTTTCCTTTGTCTCCAGTTATAATATATTTTGCATGAGAAGCCTTCATGTCTGGACATTCGGGAGTCAGTTTCTGCCGACTCACTGCTTTCTGATCTGTTCCAGATGTGAGCATGGCATTGATACCATTAGCCTTGCTGCATTTCAAACAAGGCCCCAGGAACGCTTCCCTGAGCCCCCTCAAACAAAAGCAAAGTGTATTCAGCTGCCTATCCAGTGGGAACGTCTTGCAAAAGTGTCGAGGTCCTTTCAAAGCAGCCTTCGTTGTAAAGGTTTTCCCAATGGGGGAGCTGGCACCGTGTGCAGCCGGGAGAGCATCTGGAGCTCCAGTTCTGCAGGGCACCAAGGCTGGCGAGATCACATGCACGGGGTCTTGGTGCTTAGCTGAGCTGGGGCTCGGTGAAAAGGAGCTTCATTTTGGGGAAGTTAAGGTCCAACTGCGGGCTTGATTCTCCGCTCTTTGCCCGCTCTGTTCCTTACTGGCATCAATAGGATTTCTGGGTATGCCAGGGGGGCTTTGGCCATAATCCAGCCACTGCTGGTGACCAGAAACGAGACAAGTTGAATCATATTGCCTAGCCCAAAGCTCTGTGTTTGCAACTAGCTTGTACCAGATCTAAAACAACTTCCATCCGCAGGAATTTAAGGCGTGAAGTACTTCCCAGGCTGTTCACAGTAGAAGGATGCCTCTTTTGGACAGTCAGTGCTGTGTCCTATTCGAGTCCAGGTGACATCTGGGAGCATGAAGTCTCGAGGTTGCAGTGTGAGCCTCAGGGGAGTTCAGTTGAAATCTTAGCTGCTTCTCCTATTATTTCATGCCAGTTTTCACGCCTATCATTTCAAGCCACAGATGGAGGCGGCCTACTGACCTTCTCCTAATATTTCATGCCATACAGAGAGGTGTGGTCAGCTGGGCAAAAGCTCGGGGCCAGAAGTCTCCAAGTACCTCACAATAAGCCAGGGGCCTGCATTGTCAAAATGGGCCATTGACTGCGTGCGCCTTGCATTTTTGGGTATCCAGCTGAAGACAATGGAGGCCTGATGTTTTGGCGATGCCAAGCACCCCCTGTTCTCCACAAACCAGACCCCAAGGCATCCTAAATCAGGGAATTTGGGGGATGTATGGTCCCCTAGCCCCTTGCTTTTGGTCACCCCATTTATAAAATGGCAACAGCAGCGCTCATCATGTGTGCATCCTCTGTTTCCGCTCATCCGAGTGTGCCCGCCTTAGGTGGGTGGATAGGTGGGACATTCACTTTGTTCCTTTACATAAGTAGGGTTGGCCAGAGAGGAGTCCCACTGAAGGGGTGCCAAGACTCACCCCTTTTTTAAATGAGATGAATGCTTCTATGGATGGGCATTCACAAAGGATGCAATGGGTAGTATTTATCAAGACCCCCCCCCTGCCTCTATAAGGGAAGGAGTGGAGCGGGGAGTAGAATCGAATACCCCATCCACTGACTTTAAAAGCAAGACTATTTCAAAGAGGTTCGACCGGGGAAAAAGGATAACGCTCTCAATTCATAAGCAAGATGCAGGAGAGGACGTCTTCAGAAATAATGAGCCATCCTGTACCCGGTATGGACAAGCTGCTGAAAAAAGCCCGGAGTGAAGTAGCCAAGGCTGCTGAAGACTTGACATGTCGACTCCACGGCATAGTAACACGCTGGAGATGTCTCTCCGCTGACAAATGTTACAGCTGATTTTTTAGGCTCTGCTCCTTCTGTAACTTCACTGTTTGTTTCCAGAGTGCGGTAGACTGGGCCCCTATTTAGAGAAGGGAGCGATTCCAGCTGCAGCATATGTTAGCTGTCTGTGTCTGCCCACCATACCTAAGGAGCGGGCAGCCTTTAAAAGTGCTCATAATAAATGGTCGCCTTGTCAATGCCCGTGGCACTGCCTCTATTTATAAATGCTTAGAGAAGTGTCTGAAAGTATGAATTGTTCCCTGAATTGGGTCAGACAGTCTACGAAAGTAACAGCTCAGCCTTCTTTTCACCTCCCCTCTCACCCTCCCGTAGCCAGTGAAGTCCGTTTTAGGCTCTTACTTTCTGGAGGGACTCGCCAGCGAACAATGCTGAGAAAAGGAGGAGGTTAAGACAATATTTCTCCCCCGGCAGCTGCGAGCCGTGACTTTGAGACTAGCAAGGGCGCACTTTGCTGCTATCCGGCCCCTAAGGCACTGAATAGGGAAGATGCTTGTGTGGTACAGTTGCCCTTTAAAGCAAGGCTATGTACTCAGTGAAGTCATTCAAAGGCACTTCCTTTTCATGAGCTTATTAAATGAAATTCCTTCCTAGCTTAATCGAAATGCAGGCCAAGTGCTTAGCGTTCTGCTTTGGAAGTTGGGTTGTCGATTATGCATTTATATTTGCAGTAGCACTGAGATGCCTGCATGGGGGATCTAGGCAATGCGCTCAGCGCTGCACACAGGGGCAAGGACAGCACGGACTGACCCCAGGCTCGATTCTCAGAGGTTCTCGCTGACTTTGACTGGTGTCGGGCATGCTAAGCACCTCTGGACCTAGTTATCGGCATCACAGTCCCTCCTTATCAGCATGATTTCATCCCTCCTTATCAGCTGCCTGCATGGTGACTGTCTTGCCGAGCTCCGTTTGCATTTGTACTGGAAAAGAAACACGTTCTGGATATGAATGTATAGCACGCTTCATGTTTTCCCTACCCCCAAAGCAATTCTGCTGTCTCCTATGGACATTTTGTAGGCGTAACTTGGCAGAAAGCAGAAATCCTCTGTTGCAAATATGTTTGACAGTAGCTTAGATGCTGGAAGCTCCCATGCTTTAAGACCTGGAAGCTACAACCGCATAGCTAGCATGGGGCTTGTCAGAGAGTCTTTGATTTAAAATAGCAAAATCTCCAGAAATGCATCATTCAAAGCAAACTTGGAGGGCTTGTTCGGGTCCATACGGCTACTATGCAAGAGGAGGCTTAAAAGTCCAGGCTAAAGGGCGCTAAAGGAGAGATGTCCCCTGGAGTGATCACCCTGAAAACCTCTGGTTGAAGAGCAGCTGTGATCCCAGGTTGCAGGTCACTTGCTGTTCTCTGTATGGGAGTTCATTTTGCTTTCCTCTTCCTCCCAGACATGCAACAGGAAAGGCCCATTGGTTGCAAGCGTGGCCTTGGGAATACGATAGTCCTATCAGCTTTGTTCTGCAGCGTGCATATGGAAACCCTGGCACATAGGCTTGCTATTTGGGATCAGAGCCACATTGTGCAAAATACTGTAGAAACAAGTGGGAAGAGACAGGCCCTGCCCTGCATAGTTTCAGCTGTATAAGTCTAGCCAAAGGCATTCGGGGTCACTCATGGATTATTAATGGTGATTGCTGGAGAAGGGGGTGGAATTGCTTGGAAATAACTGTGCTTTTCAGGTGAGGCCATGGAGTCTAGCAAAAAGTACATCCAAACTCAGGACTACTGCCCAGCCCTGGTTTGCCCATCCCATGAAAGGCAGACTGAGCGTGTGCTGGAGTGGTTCAGATTGTAGCCGAGGAGAGGAAATCCACTGTGCTCGTCTCTTAATCTGCAATAACTCATGCAGCTGGCTGCCCTTCTCTCCCAGCTCAGCGGTGTGACCGCGTCAGTGAGAACACCCCAGTGCGTCACTGGAGACGGGAATCTCGATTGCTCTGATCTTACGATGACATTTTATATAAACAGCCACAAATTCTGGGAGCTGGCAGCCGTCTCTGCCGGCATCTATTGGCAGGCCAGGGTCTCTGCAATAACGTAGCTTGCGTCTGACCTCTGATTTTGGCTCAGCGGGAAGCTTGCTTTTTCCCTTTTATTAATATCCCTTCTCCTGTAATGACAACCTTTGGAAGAAGCAAAGGATCATTTTTCCTTCTGCATTTATGAGAAAGCACAGCTTGGAATCGGGAGATTTTAAGAGCCCTGGACAATAAAGGATGGCCATTGTGACTTCCAGTGTCAGTGGAGAAAGCCCAAAGGAGGAATTGAGTATTTGCACTGGTATTCAGTATTGTTTCCTAGGAACAATTCTTGGCTGCCCTGGCTGTTCTCCTTCTTAAGACAGTGCTGTTCACGTGTGCAATTCTCTCCAGATGCCTCATGTGCAAGGCGCTGGCAAAGGGGGTCACAAGAGGGACACGGATGCTGGCGGCTTTCCCTGCCTGCCCCGTGGAGTGGCTTCAGTTTTAAAGTAGGTCTTATCCCCTTGGAAAAAGGGGATGTTTGCAACCAAAGGACCATTCATGTTACACATCTAGGAGGAAGGGGAAAGCGAAGCGACGTGCACACCTAGGCAGAAAAGGTTGATCATATAAACTTCATATGCAAGGGCACGTCTAATGAGCTCCTGCAGCCACTCGGGTTGCACTTTCCCTGGCACATGAGAGATATCCTCAATGCTTACTTTACAAGCTGCGTGGTGGGTAGGGAATAGCATCTTGTCTTGTTCCTGCGATGTGATAAATATTGAGGTTTGTTGGTTCCTTCTGATGCATCCATTTCTCCATAGGTAGGAGGATAAATAATTGGTTTTAACCTTCAGATTGATATCGCTCCTTTGCTGTGCACGGATCTGAATGCAAGCCTCCATGCAGGCCTGGAGATTAGGGAATATATAAACCTAGCATGATTTTGACTGACTGTTTCCTCCCTGAATTATAGATCCATCTAGAGCAACAGAGCCTTCAAGAAAACCAGACGGTGTCATCTTCAGCTTGATTTCCATTGAGTAGAGAATGGCTGTGAGCCCTGCCCGCTCTTGGACCGTTCCTTTGGGATGCTTGCTGATTCTGATGCATGAAGCTCATTGTTTCATCTTGCCCAATGCTACTTACCTGGAGAGCCTCCTGAGCAGGTACCAGGATGAGGAGCCTCGCTCCAGAGCCAAGAGGAGCATCCCATGGTCGGACAGAGAGGAGATTTTGATGCTCCACAACAAACTGAGGGGCCAGGTCTACCCTTCAGCCTCCAATATGGAGTACATGGTGAGTCCAGCAGCAGGTGCCAAAGGTTGACTTTTTCCGTTTTTCTTTTGGTCAAAGGCCCATCACAAATTCCACTATGATAAGCTTTTTTTTTTTTTAATTTATATTTTTTATTAAGCTTTCTGGTGGCTTTGGGGATTTGCATGCTAAGCTCATGGCAAAAGGGTTGAGAGTTCAAGGCTGGGTGTGGGCTCCTGGTGGCTCTGAAGAATTTTTTTAGGCTAGATATCAGGAAAAACTAGATATTAGTAAGGGTGGCCAAAATTTGGAATGGGCTCCCGAGGGAGGTGGTGCTCTCCCCTACCTTGGGGGTCTTTAAGAGGAGTCTGGATATGCACCTGGCTGGGGTCATCTGTTCCTAGCGCTCTTTCCTGCCTAGGCAGCGGGTCGGACTCAATGATCAACTGAGGTCCCTGCCAACCCTAACATCTATGAATGATGCTTTCGGCTATTGAATTGTTTTGGCTGGAAAGGCCGCTTAATGGGGCAACTAGCCCATGCCACTGCATAGTTTCAGGACTGATTTCATTATTCGTAAAACATCTCTAAGACTGTGTAGTCTAGCCCTGAATATCTCCAGCGATGGTTATTCCACACCTTCCTCTGGCAAGTTGTTCCCTTACCTAAATGTCATCAAAGTATCTAATTTCCCCTCGTATTTAGCCTACCTTCTCCCTGTCCGTTATGACCGGCGTTGTGGAATGCCACGGGCTGGACAAAGCAACCGCATGAGTGATCTTGCAAGTGTTTGCTTAGTTTACCTAGTGTAATCCATCCTTTACTGGGCTTCTTGGATTGCACGAGTTACTGCCCGGTATCTCTGGCGATGTGCTGACACCCCTCTCCTTTCTCGCTGTCGTCAGTGAGAGTGGAGGGTACGCTGCACCTCGGCGAGGCGTTCAGCCTCTTGGAGCTTCAGGGCTGCAATGAATAATGGGCTAGACCCATTTTGTAGACATGAAGTAGCGAGTGAGGTTTGCTCTTTGACTTCAAAGAACCGGACAATGTGGATTCCCACGTCAGAGACAGACACTGAGAAGTCCGTATATTAAGTCTATAGTTAGCAGTAATTAGTAAAAAAAAAAAAAAAGTCTATAGTTAGCAATAAATAGTAAAAAAAAACAACAAATACATGCTGACCACTGAGCTTTCACACAGTGCTATAGGCCTTACCTGGAGTTATTTTTAGTATCTCTTCAAAATATCGTGCAATCGGGAAACAATGTTGGATAACCTTTTTTATGCACAATATTTTCCATGTGAATGTTGTTAGTGCAGAAGGAGCTCTGGTTTGACAAGCTGTCCCCTACCGATTGGTTGTGCAAGCCAAGTAATATCAGCGGCTCCTTTTATGAATACCACTTTTCCCATTGAACCGAGCGCCACAAATAGGAAGATCTGTCTTTTATAATACAAAGGGGACAAAAAGCTTAAGGATGAAGAGAGCAATGAGGAAGGATATATCGTTCCAGCTCTTCAGTGCAGTCGGTATTCAGGGAGCCAGGCTCTAGCTATAAGTCATCCTGAATTTGTCAGTGCAAGGGAATGGATATGCCTTTCTAAGAATTGTTATTTTGTACCTGTATTATTTAGTAGGCTGTGATCCTGTCCTTGCAGGCTGCCCATAATGTGCTGCGAGGGAAGACGTGGCTTGATTAATTCCAAGAAAGTAAACACAAAGCAGTGCAAGAAAGCCCAACGTGTTTTCGTTGGCTTTAAGGATCTAAGAGAGCTGCAGTTGTGGAGTGTTTTCTGCCTGGCTTCTATTGACTTGTGCTACTTCATGTTTGTCTTTGCTTTTCTAGTGGTTTTATGGGAGATTTAGGGCAAATGAAAGAGCCTTGTATTCTGTGAAAGCAAAGTTGAGTATAACATGGTGCTGTTTGGAAGGGCTATAATCAGTCTTTCATGTGTTCATGTTTACCTAATATTACTTGGAAACGCTTGCGCACATGAATTTCACTTTAATCTTTTGTTTTAAAAGAGGACACTTATCAGCCTGAATATTAAGAGGATGGGCTGTTTTTTAGCACTCCAGAGAAACGGAGGGGAAAATGGTTTTGGGTAGCAAACAGTTCCCGGGAGAAGATCTGATGCTAACGTGATACGTAAGCACAACGTGTGCTCTTGGCTAGCAGTCTTCAAGTGCTGGCTGTGAAAGCCCATTACCCCACGTCCATTGCTGATGTACTTACATGACTTAAATTTGCACAGGGGAACGAATGTTTTTTTAAGGAACTGGAGAGATCAATCTGCTGCATCACGAGCTTTGGAAGAAATAATAGCGTACCGAGTTTATGCCAACTTGGTTAAAAATGTATCCCAAGTTTTGTGACACAGCTGTATGCATGTTGAGCATCATTAGATAGCAGCATGCATTAATAGACAGCTTATAATTTATGTGCACCCTATAGCTACACACCTATATTTGAAACAAAAGAATAATGAAAGGAAAAATTATGAGGCGGGATTAATGGTTAATTGGAGAAAAAAAGAGACATTTAATGAAGAAGCCTTCTAGTATATGGAAGTTGTTTGCTTGACTATGTTAGGGTAATGGAGTTCAAGGCTAGTGGTGGTATTTAGTGCTAATGGAAAAAGCCCTCTCCTGGAGGCGTTGTTATAGGCCAGATGTGAATGGTGTACACATTCCTCAAGACAAAGCTGGCCAAATATAAAATTGTCTTAACCACCTCCACGGGCTTATTACGTGCACGTCCATTGTGTGTTTTCATTACAGAACAGTAGTAATGGTGATGGACCGAGGCCAAAACAAAACAAATCTCATGTCAAGAATGAATTTAGAGTGAAAAATAAGCCGCGGTTCCTAAGAAACCAGGGACCCTTCAGTTGGCTCAGTCAGCAGCAATGAAAATACCTGCCTTGGAGGACCTTGAAGTCAGATGTATTAAGTTGGTCTGTCTTCAGTGGAAATTACCAAAGGATGAATACATCACAAAACACAGGTTCTTAGAAGAAAAATATCTGTGGAGTTAGCCCATCTTTCTTCAAACACAGTGGCTTTCAAACTTTGGCGGGGTGGGGCTAAGGAATCACTGTTAACCTCCAAATTTCTTGTGGACTTCCTACCATGCCTTGTCATCAAACTTTTCACTGAAAAGGAAGGAGGCCAGGGCCCAATACTGATCCACAGACCACTTGCCATGGCCTTCTGCATGATGTGTGGTCTGCGACATACATTTGGGAACCGCTGCTCTAAGAGATTTCAGTGTGAGATGGTACAAATGCAGGGACTGTTATTACTCAGTGGGTCCAATAAGCTAGCCCTATAGTTGGAAAACTGTCCAAGCCTCTGCCCATAGGCTTCATTCCTGACTTCTCCTATGCCAGTTCCACGCGGTCTGTGAAATCATAATGCCAGGGTCGTGTGTCAGCTGGGGTCCTGCGTCCAGTTTTGGGCGCCGCACTTCGAGAAGGATGTGGAGAAGCTTGAGAGAGTCCAGAGAAGAGCCGCTCGTATGATTAGAGGGCTGAAGAGCAAGCCATACGAGGAAAGGCTGACAGATACAGGACTGTTCAGCCTAGAAAAGAGAAGACTTAGGGGGCAGGATTTGATGGCAGCTTGCAAATATATCACCGGAGAGCATCAGGGGATAGGTGATCAACTATTCACCAAAGCGCCCCAGGGGAAAACCAGGAGCAATGGTCATAAACACCTAGAAGAAGGTTTCAGACGGGATATAAGGAGAAACTTCTTCACAGTTCGTGTGACCGGACTCTGGAATAGCCTCCCAGCAGGGGCGGTGCAGGCACCTACCCAAGAGATCTCCAAAAGGAGACTGGATCCACACCTTGCTGGGGTTATTTGACCCCTGCAGTCTTTCCTGGCCAGAGCAAGGGGACTGGACCCTAGGGCTGGAAGGGACCTCGTGAAAGCACTGAACTTCTCTGAATCTGTGTCATAGTATATGCAAGAAGTGGGGTAGCGTGGGAGTAACAGAAGTGTTATTACTTGTGTGATCTAAACAGCTTTCTAGCTGTAGGGCTAGCTTTAAGAAAGTTAATACATCTATGCCTAATTATTCATGTTCCTATTGCATTCGCACCTCTAAATTGCAATACGGGGTAGGTAAATTACATTTATGTTTTGTGTGCCCTGCACTGCCTTCAAAAATGACCTCAAATACTAAGAAGTAACACAAAAGAGATGGTGTTAAATCCCTTTATCACACTGATTACCACCACCTTCTATACTGTCTACTATAGAGTATCATCACATGGATGACTAGTATGCTGACACAAGATATGTGCTTATGTCATGACCCTATCTGCTGCTACGGTGTTTCGAACATCTGAATGTGGGGGGAAAATAAAAGAACAAAACAGGAAAACTCATGATGCTGATTAGAGCCAATTAACGTCTTCCAAATTGCTTAACGCAGACTCTGCGAGATGGCCAAGGAGTGAATTGAAATGAGAGGAATGTAGATGCTTAATATAGATCCCATTTTAATACTGTGCTGAGAGATTACATCGAATATTGGCATTATAAGAGTTCAGGAGAAAGCCACGAAGAGAGCCTGAAATCTATTTTGTCCGTATATTTATTGCATCTGAAGTGTTTCCAGTCCCCTGACCACATAAAAGTCGGTGCGAGAGGCAAGAAGCAAACAACAGTTCTAATTTAAACGGCATGGCTTTGTAATCTGATGCCTGCAGAAAACAGCCGCTTTCCCAATTAAAGACCAAAAAAAAAATAAGAAAAAAGCTCTTTCCATTCATTCACTGAGTGACTTTGGTCTGTGTTCATTGGCTTCATCCATAGGCGTCAGCGGAGGATGTAGCGCGTATGTTCATGTCAACTTCCATTTACTTGTTTGTTGCTCATAAGGTGTCTGCACTAAATTAGGAGACTTGGGACGTCTGCCTGTGAGAGCTGTAGATGCAGCCCTTGCTCCGAGCACAGCAGTGGGAAGCTGTCGAAGGGGCAGGGAAGATAAAGGTCATGGTTTTTATGTCATCTTTGTCATTGTCCAGTGGAACTTGTTGCTTGAAGAAGGCTGCCTGTCTTCAACTAGATAGTTGAAGAGACTGCTTGTCTTCTGGGAAAGATGTTGGAAAGCTCTGCTGGTAGGTTAGTTAGCAATTTTAGGGGAAAATGTTTGTCTTTCAGAGCCTAGGCAGTGTGAATTTCCAATAGGGAGCAATCTCACATTGGCTCCAGATGGACTGGGTAGGAACTAGTAGGTCTTGGACAGTATGATTCACTTTATTTATAGACATATGCAGAAATCCCAGTAAAAACATCCCCCCAGGATGTTTATGAAACAGCAGGGCTGTCGGTGCTTGAACAATGTGCATACTATTTCATGTCATAACACTCAGGGCCACGTTAGCAACTCAGGCCTAGAAGTGATGCAGCATCTCCCCACTACAGTGGCCAACCCTGAAAACCAGGGCTGTTTTGTGCTGTGACTCATGCATGGTTTCCATTTTATGCAGTGGGGTGGGAGGGCATTATGGGAAATTTACTGCTAGATTAGAGCACTGCAGCACACTGCACAAGGCAATAATAGGCTGGGGGCTTGACTTCATTGTCAGAGCTTCCTTGGTTCTGTCGATTGATTCCTGGTCTTAGGGAGCTTGCAAGATAAGTTGGGAGAGGCCTGAAAGGATTGGCAAATTGACTGGTTCTTCCTCCCTTCTTCTCTTCCCTAGACGTGGGATGATGAGCTGGAGAGATCTGCTGAGGCTTGGGCTCATGAATGCATCTGGGACCATGGACCTGCCAACCTCCTCCCATCCATTGGTCAGAACTTGGCAGTTCATTGGGGCAGGTAAGAGCTGGAAAGCTGGAGACGAATGCTAGCGGTGCCCTCGTAGGTCTCCCTCCGGTGCTCGGACCTTTCTGAGATTTGCCTCGTTGATATTTAATGAGATCTTGACTAATGGGAGCAAAGCCCGGGAGGAGCCGTTGCTGTTTTCTTGTTGCTTTTCTGGGGCAGGCGTGGGAATGACATCTGCCGTGCCTTTCAGCTAGCTCTTCCCAAGATGCTTTAGAAATATGCAAGCTAAGTCTCACTACATGTCTGCGTGGCAGTATTATCCCAGAGAAACGGAGAGGTCAAGCGGCCTGTCCGGTGTCGCACTGACAGAGTTGGCAACAAAATCCAGGGTCCTGATTCCCACGTCCCTTGAATCAGCACAGGGCTGAAGTTTCTCAAGATCCATTTTTGGCCACTGCCAGTAGGTCCAGCACTCGCTGTGATGACTCCTTCAAACAACTCGCACCACATTGCCTTTCACTGCCGGCCTTGCTTCGTGATTTCTCTTTGTATTCGCTCCGTGATGATGGCACGAATCTGGGTTAGCAAAGTTTGTTTTACGCTCCTGGGAAGAGTGTTAACGGAGAGTTGTCAACCAGGTAGAAATGATGCTTAAATTAAACCCAAATGGTGCTTTCAACTGAAAGTATGCAGCACACGGCAAGATTTTTCTTTGTCATCCTTGTCCCAATTGCTGTTGGCAAAGCGCTTGGATGCTAAGGCGATGTGAGATCTAGACAATAGCTAAATCTGGACATTTTTAATGCAGGGGGGAGAAAATTCTCCTGTGAACATCTTCATGCTTACAAAGCAAGGTCCAAACAAAAATGAAGTGCATGGTTTTAAGCAACTCTTTTCCCATCTTTCGGGGCTTGACTGGGGGCAGACCCACTGTCAATCCTGGGTAGCTTTGCGGAGAAACTCCTCTACCGTAAAAGTAGTGTGATATCAGAATGGGGCTCAATACTTTTTGACTACGTGAAGCAAGAGAGGAACAAATGTGGCCTTTTGGTTCATGTAGGAATTCAGGAGAACAAGATCATTCGCTTGCTGTAGTTGCCAATCTTGCTTCCACTGGGATTAATGAAAAATACTCATATTGCTTCAGTCTATGCAGGATTGGAACTGTGCCTCAGTTTACTTATCTGTAAAACGAGGCAAATAGCGCCTAATTCACGAAGCTGTTGACTAAGAGCCATTATTGCTGAATGGCCGTTTAAAACCCATTGAGATCATTATTCAAAGCTTACGATCATTATAGTCTCGCTCGATATCCCACGTGAGGTTAGTCATCGCGGCTGACATAACTTTGGCTGATAGAAATTTGCCTCCAGCATATAACATATGCTGTGTGCATGCGTGTCTCTAAATAGTCATAGTCCTGCCAGAAACGCAGATCACAGCAAATGTGCGGCAGATAGCATTTACTGCTTCACTTGCAAGTATGAACCGTATTGTAAATGTGTCCTGGACTGTCTGCGCAAGGGAGTTGCTGTGTAATAAGCTTGGACGTATAACTAATGACTGCATGCTAATGCCTTGGGTGCGTGCTGTTAGTGTGTCGTAGAAGTGAAGCAGCTAGCTCCAGTTTCAAAGCCCTGCAGTCTTGCAGCTGTGGACTCTAGTGTGCTTCCAGATTTAGCAGATTGCCAAGAGGTAAAATAGGTACATGATGGCTTCCAGTTTAATATGCTTGGCAGCCCCTGACCGATGTTTACTCTGAAAACACAGCCTTCCGCCAAACTAGAAGTCTTTTGTAATTGAGTGGAAAAGCCAAGAGGACATTTCAGGTTAACGGCATTGCAAGAGAAAGTTAAACCTATAAATAATACCCTAAGTCAGCTTAGGTCATGGGTTTTAGAGAAGAAATTGTCCCTAACGCTTCCCCATGAGACTTTTTTTTCAGTGATGAAAACATGATGTTGGGTTTTTCTGTTATTTCCCATTTGTAAAAGTCACAGGGACTTAGTGAGCGGGTACCACGTTGCACTGCAAAATGGCCTTAGTGCTTCACAAGCTTCTTATAGTGACTTTCCAAGAATGTTATTTCGGTTATAAAAATAACCCCGGTTCATTGATCTGGGTTGAAAACTTACAATAGGAAGTTAGTGATCTAGGTCACAACGTCTCTTTGGTCTTTTAGGTATCGCACCCCAGCCTTCCATGTCCAGTCTTGGTATGATGAAGTTAAGGATTATACTTACCCGTATCCACATGAATGTAATCCCTGGTGTCCAGAGAGGTGCTCAGGAGCTATGTGCACTCACTATACCCAGGTAAGGAGCACAGAGGCCTAAGTCTGCACTTACTGCTTGATCTCATCCCCTGGGAGACACTGGACGTTACAAAAGCATCCCTGGAAGAAAGTGAATAAATGGTTTGTTTTTTAAAAACGTTTTTCCATATGCTTGTGTTGCACTTTCAGATCGTCTGGGCCACCACCACCAAGATGGGCTGCGCTGTCAACGTCTGCAAGAAGATGAACGTGTGGGGTGACGTCTGGGAAAATGCCGTTTACCTGGTCTGCAACTACTCTCCTAAGTACGGCAGCTAAGATACGTTGCCACCGCCATGCTGGCAAGTTGCTTAACTAGTGCAGGGTTTGATGCAAAGAGCTCACTGAGACCTAGCTGCTGCTTTTTAAATACTTAAAGGGCAGTAGCAGGTGGCGACCAACCAAGCCCACGGTCTCATTGAACTTGGAGCTGGACAAATATAGAAGAAGTCATAGTCTCTGCCCCAGGGACCTTTGAAAGTTGGGTAACTCCTGCATTCACAATTTAGCCACTCCTGTGTCCTGTTAATATGTCTAATAAGCCTCTTCCTGTGAAATTCAGTGGGGTTGGATGACGCTGGTTCCCTTGCAGGATTGTATCCTCTTTCTGCCTTCAGTCAATGTTGGCCTTTACCTAGCTTTCTATGCATGACAATGCTAGGGGCAGTAGCTGCAGGCATGAGGATCACAGCTCAGCCTCCTTGAAATCCAGGGCTTTCATATATGCAATATCAGAAGGTCAAAAGAGGGATTTGGTTTCTGCAAAGCCAGTAATTTCTTAAGAGAATCAAGTCATAGTGTTTGAACGTGGCACTTCCATAGCATTTCAGTTTAAAAGTAGTATTTTATATGTGTGTGAGCTTAGGTAGGGAAACCCATCTGCAGTAGCAGCCCTTTGAGAAACCAATTTATATAAAGCATGAGTCTCCCAGGTTTTGTGCTTGGCAGCTGCCTTGGGCTTTGCACAGTAACTGGGGAGAAGATTGCCCCGGTAAAATTGGGGAGTTTTCCCTGAGCAATTAGAAAATGCAGTGTCCTGGTCCAGACACTTGGCATCAGCCTGTTGCCTAAAGCACTCGCTGTGACTCGTCTTTCGGATCCATCAGGGTGAGCTCTGTGTGGGTTTTTTCCTGCTTGGGACCAGCTCCAGGTGGAAAGATGGAACAGCTTTTAAATGGAAAAGTGTTGCTTTCCAGGCTGGCGTGTGTAGCTGCCTGACTGGTTTCGAGAGCAAAGAAACGGTGGTAGGGCTTGTGGCTCTAATGGCGTTGAAGAACACACACAAAGAAGCCAAAGGCAAATCCTAGTCACTGACTAGGCAATTGTCAAATAAAAGCCAGATGCCTGTGCTGCTCTTCATTTATTTAGTTTGCTGAGTTTATCGCTAGAGAACTGCAGACTGCAAGTTCGTGGACGGAGCAGAGTCTGGCAGCCTTTCCCAGTATTTACAGCAATCTATCAGCATGGAGGCACAGAGGAGACATTCATTTTCCACGATCCCTTAGTGCCTGGAGGCCTTAGAGGCGTAGGATGCAGGCACACAGCCTGACTGTGTGTGTGTGTGCATGCACATTTAGCATAGAGACCATGCAGAAACACATGTCTTGTATGCTTCCAGGGGGAACTGGATTGGAGAAGCCCCGTATAAAAATGGCAGGCCCTGCTCTGAATGCCCACCCAGCTACGGGGGCAGCTGCAAGGACAATCTCTGTTACAAAGGTACGTGACCAGGCGGTGTCGATTCCTGCTTAGTGCATTGTGGGGGGGAATGTGAAGGGTCCTACCCAGCTCCGCTCTGCATGGTATGGGAAGGTAGGAAAAAGTTTTGCCTGGAAACTTTCAACTGAAAGCAGATCGACGTATTAAGTTTTGTCTTAAGTTTACGGGTACAAAACTTAGGGCGTATGTATACGAGGTTTTAAGTTTTCAGTTAGCCGGCCTGGACGTTCAAACAGGAGGAATAGGGTGAAACAGCCCCTGAATGAATGCGTCTGGAGCTGGAACCTGGTGAAACACCCAAAATCTAGAGAGCAAATTCTGCTTCTTTTCAGTGGTGTAATCCAGCTGAACTCGACTGCTTTAAAGGCGTTCCTCTGGATTTCCACCAGTTCTCATGGGCCAAAGAGCAGGACAGCATTGGCTCACGACTGGTCTGTGGGATTTTGGTTTGTGGCTGCTGTGGGGACGAGCAAGCCCATCCTCATCTGGTTTGTTTGAGAAGGGCCTGTTCGCAGAAGCCACCGTGGGTGGGCGGCGTATGGCGAGTTCCTTATGTGTCCTTGCATATGCTTCTGGGCCTCAGTTTCCCCAGCTATAAAGGACTAGAGTCATTTCTACCTAGAGGATTTATAGGCAGCTAGTTTCAGCTGCATATTAAGCGACATAACGAAGGGTTTGGGACAATCTGGGGATCTTTCGGACTAAATGCTGCTGTATATAATGAGTGGGAAATGGTAACCCTGAAACCCTCGAGGCAGTCGCTTACTTCACTGACCATTGAAGTCCCACTGCGACTGCCTCGATAGAATCCTTTTATTTCACCCGTACAAGCCATTTTCTCTCCGAGGAAGTAAGCCTTTGCTCAGAGATATCGGCAACCCCCCCAGAGATGTGTTCAAAGCAGAGAAGGATCTTGGGCCAAAATCACTTTTCTTCTTTAATGTTAATAATCTGGGTCATAAGGAAGCTGAAAGAGTGCCGGTCTGTTGTCTGGACACAACAGAATACATTGAAAGCATTGGGTGTGCAGCCAGAGGACAGAGAGAGATCATGAGGGGGTATCTTTGCTGAAGATGAGAGAGGATGGGGCTGAGTTTTATCACTAAAGTACCACTTCCAGGTACCACTTTTCCTAGGCCAGGTGTCCGCGCATGTAAGAATATTAATTCTGCCAATGAAGAGAAAGATCTATGCAATGCATGCTGGGTCGCTTGGCCTAACAAGGATGAACATCAATGAAATGAGATCTTTATTTTTAGAGCAGATAGTGATGCTATGGTAACATTATTTTGAGGAAGCTAACCTCAGTGTAGAAGTCTTTGGCAGGTTTCCAGGGAATTTGTCTGCCTGAGGTTAGGAGCAGATGTTGCATTTGTCCCGGGACAAGTTGTGCCGGTGTTTGTCCTGGAATGGAAATATCCCAGCATTGGCATGTACACACATCATCCTTCTTATCGGGGTTTAGTGAGCAGCTATCCGGCCATCGATTCAGTGAGGCAATCCCAACCTAACCATTCAGCAGTATGTTGTGATATCCCAGGATAAACTGTTAGTCCTTCTTATCCCATGAAAAGTTTTAGGATTTATCCTGGGACAATGGACACGGATGCCTGAATGATTGCACCGTGTCCTGAGATTAAATGGTTTCTTTTGGGATAAATACAATGTCTGTTTGTGGTCTGAGAGGAGTCGGCTCTTCCTCGGTGGAGCAGAATCGGCGTTGCTAAACAGGGGGGTAAATAATAGTGGGAGCATCGGCCCGTGCTCATCTGTTTTCCACCGCGTAGTGACAGATCACGTCAAACCTGCGTGGTTAAATCCTGGATCGCTGCTCTGGGTGCAAACCGAGCGACTAGGAGGAAGCCAGGTCTCCCTCCCTGGTGTTATGCCTTCTCTGGGAGTAGCCCTTTCTGGCCATAACTGCATGTCATTGGATTGCCAGCTATTTAGAAATGGGTCTTTGTTTAAATCGAACCATCTCCCTCAAAAAATCTTGGTGCTCCTGTAGCTCGTCAAACTCAACTGTTAATGCCAAAGTGATCTTTTTTTCTTCCCCTCTCTAATAAGATAACCATTATGCCCAAAAACCTGAGACGGATGAGACTAACGAAGTGGAGACTCCGCCAAATGCAGAGGAAAAATATGTGTGGGCGCATGAGCCGGTGAACAAACCCAGAGCAACCAAGCCCAAGAAAACAACCCCTGCGGACCACTACATGAGTAAGAGAGCTGCTTTGTTGTCTAAAACCTATGAGCTTTTCGGCACCTCCAGAGGAAGGGTGCGGAAACCTGTGTGGGGAGTCGGTTCAAGAAGAAGAGAGTGGATTTTGGGGGGTAGGGGGGAGGGATTGGTGCAAAGATGTGCTGTTAATGATAAAATTGGCTTAGAAGAGATGGAATCAAAAATTTCAGAAGAGATTAGTGCTTTTTGAGCATCTGATTTCAGACCTCATTTTTCCAACAGTGCCCCTCAGCGCCTCTCAAGTTGGATACCCAAGAACTCAGGCAGGCAAAATCTCTCATCCCTTTAGAAAATCTTGGCCGTGCTCATTGGATACATCCGCAAACATTTGGCTTTTACCCGCTATTGCCTCCTTTAACTATTCTGCACTCCGTGCTCTCCATCTCAAAGTCTTTTTAAATTTTGGTCCTCGCCTAAAGAGAGGGGTGGAGGGAAGGAAGGGGGGTGGCTGTCCTGGTGCAGGTCTTTGGAAAGAGTCGTGCAGTCGATCGTATCTACTTTAAAGGGTTTCTAATCACTGTAATTTGAAGTGATTCATTGCTTCTGTGCTGGGGTGAACAAGCGCACCCTTCTCAAGTCTATCCGATGGGATGTTGAGAGCCTCTAATTAACCGGGATGGTGGGAACCCTGGGTCTGGTCACTGAAATCCTCTACTGTCAAGTTGGCTTCATGTTCATACTGACAAAAGACACTTTTTTGATGAAAGGAACAGTTAAGATGTCAGTAAGTGCCTTTTGTAGCTGCAGGGCTGATGTAGCAGTGCTTCAGGGTTATGTGCTCTCAGCTGGAAATCTATTGCTGTGAGCAGCATTCACGCGCGCAGTGCTACAAGTTGCCGTACATATAACACACCCGAGTGAACGCTGCTTGTGATTTGGGTGGAGGTTTCTCCCTTGAATCCCCTTCTCTTACATCTCTCATTTTGCTTTGTTTTCTAGCTCAAGCCATTAAGTGTGACACCAAAATGAGGGACAGCTGCAAAGGGTCAACGTGCAACAGGTAGCATTTTATTGACAGCGGTCAGTGAAACAGTGTCCCGAAAGCTGGCTGGGATTTGCAAACATGGGTTGGGCTATGTTCTATTTTTTGTGACTAGCATCCAATTGCTATGTAAATCCCTATGAACAAGTCTTTCATTCCCCTTAAATACAAATTATCCAGCCAAGTTTAGCAGTAAAGTGACTTAGTTTATTTCATGCTCGAAGTGATGAATGGGCATGATAACCCACAGCCCCCAGATGGCCAGCGCCGCTCAGTAAACCTTGGCACAGCTATTTTGTTCTCTCCTCATGTGTTATACTATACTCCTGCCCACCCAACCCATTAATTCATGGCTTGTACCCACCCCGATGGTCAAGAACTCCGGTTAAGGTTTCAGGCGAGTACAGTACAGTTTATCGCTTGGAAAAAGACCAAACCCACAGAATCTAAATATTGGTCTCATGGGGAAAAGCGTCTTTTAAATGTTGCTATTTTGCAATACTGGTTTTCAATGGAGTAGTTTAATGAAGCGAATGGAGTGATTATGAAATGTAGCAAAAGGCTCTTTCTTTTCCTCGTTGTTCCCTCGCTATCATTGAGAGAGATCTCTGTCGTTCCCAGGTATCTGTGTCCTGCTGGCTGCATGAACAGCAAAGCCAAAGTCTTTGGGACGTTCCAGTACGAGAGTGTAAGTACTTTGTTAAGCCGCATGGATGTTTATGGGTTCATAGGGGAAATCTTTATGGGGTGGTAGGGGAAATGCAAGAAACTGTAAGTGCTGGCAATCCAACTGCAACCCAACTTTTCTTCCCTCCTGTGTTGGTCTGGCATGATCTTGTGAAGTTGTATAACGCAGGTTACCTGTGTTACCCTGTCAAAATGATAAAACCAGTCCTAAAAGGTAGAGTTCATTCAAGGGCTGATCTTGCAAAATAAGTCCTTTCAATGTCCAGCAAATACATTGGAAGTTGAGGGCAGGGGAGCAAAGCATCTTTTAGGATCTGTCCTCCAGTGCACAAGATGACTTAGGGTGATGCATCAAGTAAGATGTAACCCTTTCCCTTACCAAGCATTTAAAAAAAAAAAAATAGATTTGGAATTTTTTAGGGGTGAAAGCTCAAAATTTTCCACTGGAAAAAAGTAACTGTTTTCTGCCAGCTCTCCTTAAGAATTATATTTTAATGGTGTATATCTATATATATATATATATGTATGTATGTATGTATGTATGTATATATGTGTGTGTGTGTGTCTATATGTGTGTGTATGTATGTATATGTATGTATGTATGTGTGTATGTATATCTATGTATACACACACATACATACACACATAGATAGATAGATATCTAGATATATATATCTATGTAGATATAGATATATATATATATATATATATATGTTTTTATAGACTTAAAGGATCAACTTATAGGATGTTGATATATAGATAGGATGTTCACCCTTAGAATGGATAGGGCTTAAAATTAAAAAAAAAAAAGAATAGGCACGTACGCTTTAGCAATATTAATTATGCAATCTGAGCCTATGTGAAATTTGGTCAGTAAAGGTCCAGGCCACTTGACATTTACATATTTCTATTACATGTGTGTTTTAATGTTACTTTACTGCCATTTATTTCAGGGTCTATTAATTTTAAAATGCTGTTTTTTATGGTCTTTCTAGTCTTCCAGTATTTGCCGTGCTGCTCTTCATTTTGGTGTTATTGATAACAGAGGAGGCCTGGTTGACATCACTAGGAAAGGGAGAACACCGTCTTTTGTGAAGTCCACAAGACATGGTGTTGAAACATTAAGGTATTCTCCCTTGAGAAAATATACCCTGATGCACATAGATTTGCCTTTGCTATAAATTGATGTTGTATTTTCTCTGCTGTTTATATGAAAAAAAAAAAAAGATAATTGATTTTAAATGTTTTGCTGTGCCTCTATATTTTAAAAAGTATATTAAATATATATTTCATTTTTGTGTTTTACAGTAAAAATAAACCTTCAAATGCATTCATGGTCTCCCAAGTAACAGGTGAGTTTAAATGCCATTTACATCATGATAAAATTGAGAAGACGGCAATGGTGCTGAAGTTTTACGTGAAGCTTTGACACGATCATGCCATGCCGTTTTCTCTCTTAGCTTCAGTAGCCATGTCAAATGATTTTGTTGCCAAACTCGGTCCAGTCCTTGGGGAAGAAACCATCACTTAGCAACAGCAAATGTCATTAAGTCTTTTCTCCTGTTGGGAAAGACTCCTTGAGAAAATGAGAAGAGGCCAATTATGATGCTGTCCAATTTCCTGAATCTTGTGTCTAGACAGATCATGGCATAGAGAGCGCTTTGGCCTCCCAAGCTGGCAATATCAGGATGATGGAGGGAAGTTAGATAACCATCCTGATATTGTATTCCTGGGAAGACTTTGAGGCTCTGGATAATGTTGAAAGGGCAGTAAGGGACTCTTTCTCAAGGTGGGGCCACTCATTTATTTTGGAGGTTTATGATGATCCCTTGCTCATTCTTCCTGATGGCTTTATGACAGCAAGGTGTTCATGTTGCCTCCAACTGAAATGCAGTATAAACCAAGATGGGCCGGAGCATTTGAATCTACTGATGGCTTTCCGATCAACAACTCTTTCTCACTTAAACCAGACATTGCTATTTCCCATCTTTACCAGCACATGACAGTGGTCATGACCTGGATTAACCATAGCTGGTTTACAATCTGTATGGATAAGACTGAAGTGACACAAGCAAAAGTCTGTAGGTTTGGGCACCTTTAGTTGAAGGCAAGTGCGCACACATGTCAGGAAGATTTGTGCTTTGTGCTCTTACTGGAATGATTTCTACAGTGTGTTTTTCCAGGGTCTTGTGGTCTAATATTTAATGACCCAAAGAAGGGGCTTCCCACCCTTTCTGTAGTTCGACTGTACAGACAATTAATGGTATGCAACAAAACATGAAACTTTTAATTTTCTCTTTGTTTGGTTCTGACTGTATTTTTGCAGTTTATTCCAAACTGAAATCATTTCCTCACAGTTGGCTCCAAAGTGTTTACATAAATATTGATTTTTTTATGACTTGAGCTGGACGGGGAAAAATGAGAACCAGCATTTTTAACTCTCCCTCAATAGTTCAACTATTTTTCCACATTTTTCGGTCAGTTTGAATAATGCCTCCGACTAAATACAGTCTGTTTTGACTTTTTATCTTGTGTGGCTCAGATGAAGCCTTCAGCATTTGCAAATGCAGGGTTGAGAAATACCGTGGTGTTATGCACTGCAGGCTTAGAATTTAATCTAACACCTGAATTTAATCTGCCACTTGAAATGTCTGCAACAAAGAAATGCCGCTCCATCCTTAGATATTGTTTTCTATCCCTTTAACAACAGTTTTCTAGCAATGTAATGGATCATTGCCAGAAAGCCTAATACATGTTTCTCTTTAATGCAAACTGTGCGTAGTGAGCAAAATGCAGTTATTCTTCTGGCCGCATATATACCATTAGTTGGATGTGAGTCCTATCCGATGCACTATGTGACCTTGGCTTTTCTTCGCTGCTGGAGGCTCCAGGTTGTAATTTGTGTCTCCATATTTCTCTCCACAGTGCAGACGCTGGATTGTTATACCACGGTAGCTGAACTGTGTCAGTTCAAAAAGCCAGCGGCTCACTGCCCTAGGTAAGATGCATCTTTAAGCAGACTTTGAATCTAAACTTGTATTGGTAAAGGGGCAAATGAGCTGCAGAGAGACTGCAGATAGTGAGCTGGAGGATTTGGAAGTGAAGATGCACATCGTGAGAGATGAACTGGAGTGGAGGTTTGATAAAGAAGTTTCATTTCATATCCATAGGCAATATGTGACATGAATAAAGCATTTTCCCTCAACAGCCAGGGTTTTCACCTGAGCATATTCACACTTTGGAGGTGCAGATTAGTGTTATAATGTAAAGGCTGTATTTTTATAGGCTTATTACTGAATTCTCCATGGTATCAAAGGGTCAGACTGAAGAAATCCCCTTAGATCAATTGATATGCATCGATGTGCAGCTTTGTGCATGCTCTCTGCCATGTGCAGTTTTGGGGCACGCTCTCATCCAAATTCTCAAGTTCTCACACACCCAAATCTGGATCCTAGCCTGCTAATGGGCTTGGTACGCTCAGACCTCTCAGCTCCTTCTTTTGCTTACATAAGTCATGTTGGGGAAATATAATTCTGTGCAAACAAGTGTGTGGGCAACGTTATGCATGAATAGAGAAGCTCTGCTTGGAAAATGCAGCTCCAAAGGCCCAACTCCTGTTTTATTGGTCTCATCTGCACTTCAGTATTAGGGGGGGAAAATATTAGCCACAGCTGTTGCCACCTGCAAACCAGATGTGAGCACCAGAAGTTTTCCAGGAATGCAGATTGCATGCTCTTGCTTCTCGATGTAGAGAATAAATGCAAATGCATTGTCTCCTAGGGTGTACTGTCCAGCTTACTGTAAAGACGAGCCTTCGTACTGGGCACCAGTGTATGGCACGAATATTTATGCAGATGTGAGTATTCCCTTTGCCTTCATATCACTTCATAAAAATATGTCTATGTTGAAAGAGCTTGGTCACGTGTCATTGAGATTTGTATTCCTTGAACTAGGAATTATATCCCTTTAAATGCTCTGCCAGATATGTGCTGTTTTACAGCAGCCCTTGCATTAGGTGGCCCCATTCATTAAACATTGCATTGTACTTAAGTGGTGGCCATATTGTGTAGGGCAGAGGACCACGAGCTGGGAGACGAGAGGCTTGGATATCATTTGCATTTCTGACACTACCTTGCTCTGCGACCTTTGGTGTGTAACTCAACTACTCTGTGCTTTTGGGTGTTGGTTTGTAAAATAGTGATAATACCTGTCCATCTGAGGTCGACAGATGAAAAGCTAAGGTTTCATTGTGGCCTATATTGCTACTCACCATAATTGGCAAAAATAGATCCTACTCGCCCCCCCTTCTTTTGCAAGTAGAATATTATTTTTGAAACAGCTGGGAGACAGTACAGTGTTAGTGAAAATAGCAGATGTTCATTGGGGTTTTTTTAGCTTTGTGAACAGCTGTACAGCTGATGTGGAGGAACAAAGGTTAAATAGCACAAAAAAATAAATTGATGAACAGCAAAGGGATCAACTTTGCTTTTTCTTGGAGATTTTGTGCATCTGAAGCCCACTGGCAATATATGTGTGGTGTAGTTTTGCAGAGTGGAGATCGAGGCAAAGAGGATTTCAAAACCTTGAGAGATACACTGGCCCTCACCTGTTTGTTGGCAGTTTGCTGAAGGTCATCCAGAGAGACTTTACTCAAAGCGAGAGCTTTCTTCCCATTAGTTCATTTTCAGAAAATCATTTTGTGTGTAGTGGGATCAATCCGAGCAATCACATGCTTCCTAAGGCTAATAAATCATGTCACTGATATTGCTTTTACCCATCAGCATCTGGGTATACCATCTCTTCTTATATTTTCCCCCTTGAGGGAGAGTTTTAAAATGTCTCTTCAAGCTAGGTTCCACCTATATGGACTATACCCAGATTGATGATGGTGCCAAATGGGAATTGCTAAGTTGTTCTGGAGTTTGGGAGAGAATCGTTTTGGTGGGGAATTGCCTGTTGTGGTCTTGATGTTGGCTAGTAGACCTGTTTTCCCTTTTACCTTTATGGTTACAGGCAGGAACTTGCATTGTGTCAGTTGTGGCTTGGCCTAAAATTGACTCTTGGTCAAGTAAGATCATTCTAGATTCTTCAGTTCTTCCGATGAATTGGTTGTCCTGGGAGCCGTGAAGGAGCTAGTTCAGCTGTTTATGGATATGAACAAGCTCTAGTTAAAATTGCTTGCCACTTTTCAGTTTACTTTGTTCAAACATTAGGGCAATATTTTCATTGCCCATTTAAATAGACAGTAAACTAAAAACTGGTGAGTGATTGGACTCATCGGCTATAACCTTCCTGGAGTTCCTTCCATCTCAAAAGTTCTGCAAGACTTTCTAAAGTATATACCTGGGGAACTTTTCATGCATCGCTGAAATAGAGCCACTCCAGGTCGGGGAATAGCATCGTGTTCTTGGAGCAACACGATGCATGCCAAGCATGATAACCAGCAGGAACTTCAGGGTGAGTGAAGAGATGGTATCCTGAACCAGAAGCACTCATGAACTGCATTGGGGTAACTTGAATAATCAAAAGGCAACAGAATCTTGACAGGCTGCAACTTGAGGAGGCCAACAGTCCCAAGCAGAGGGGTTAGTTCAGGAGCATCATATCGTCTTGTGCAATGTGGTTTGATCAATCCTGACTCAGTTGAATTAATGTTCTTCAGTGAATCAGCCCAACTCCCTGGAGAACCCTGGCTATCATGATGTAATAATGCTCTCAAGATCCTGTATATGGATATAGGATGTATATATAGGAGGTCTGCTCTCAGGATTATATATAGAGGTAGAGGTATGTTGTAGCTATCTATGGCTGAGAACAAGTTGGAAGCCCCTTGCATTGGGTTCTTATAGCCAATCAGCAGTGGCTCAAGGCTTTAGACTTCCTTTAGGTTGGCATGATAATGTCATGAGAGATAGGGATGTGGTTACGACTAAAAGAAGAGAAGCGGAAGACAGAAAAAGGGTTGGCAGTGGGGGAAGGGAGACTACGGCAAGAATAATGAGTGTTGAAGTAGAAATACTTTTTGCATTAATGGTAATCCCAAAGCCCAGAAGTCTTATAAAATAAACATTCAGTGCAGTGTGAATTTAGGCAACCTTCTTTTCCCACAGGCATATGCCCTACAAGAAGGGACACAATGAGTTAACATCAGCCAGAATCAGGGTGTGCAGTAAACTGAAGTAGATAAGTGCTAATCTTCTGGTGGGCCTTATGGATTCACATTATGGGGGCACCTTTTATGGTTTTCGGGCAGATACGTCACAGGCTGCCATCTTGTCAAGAGGTCAAGTAAAAGACAAACCACATTTTCCCTGTGAGATTGTACTTGGCTTTAGAGATCTCAAGACATATGCAGACGTTAAAAAAAAAAAAAGACCTGGTGCTTTACTTAAAATTCGGTGCATTCCTGGGCCAAGCCCCACGTATGCCCAAAAGAGCCTGGCTTCCCGTTGTCTATATAAATCCAGTGATTTAGTGGGGCTTTTTTGGCGCTTTTGTCTAAAAGCTGATTGAATCAGCTTTAGCTAAAAGCACCACAAAATCCCTCTGAAGCATCCGATCTATACAGATGCTGCAGATCCGGGTGAAAGTAATGCACCGCTGCTTCCAGGAAAGCATGCATTTTTTTTTTTTAAACGTCTGCAAGCTCTTAGATGATGTTAGCAGCACGTTCAAAGAGCTACCTTCCAAAACGGTTTGATAGCAATGGGATTAATCACTGAAACAGCCTGTAGTTGTCCTTGGCATCGAGTCACTCCTGGTTAGGTGTCAGATCCTGTTCCACGAACTTCCAACCTTCTTTTCTACCTTGGATAGCTTTCATATTTGCATAATCCCAGGATGCTTGTGAAAGCCCATTTTTCAAAAGAGCAGAGCTGTGACATGAGCAAAAGAGGTTCAACTGAACTTGGTTCTGTTTGGGCTTGTTCATAAAGACCCGGGAGCAACAAACTCTGTCTCATGGGAATTAGCAACTTTAACAGCGTTTCTGTTTCTTCTCATAGAAATAAAAATGTTATTTTAGATCGCTTGATGTCAAGGGCTTGGGAAAGGTATGTTTATAAGAAATGAGGTCAGTTTTGTTTGGGGAAATGAACCAAAGAGACAACACAGCCAAGGTACTCATGATCAATGGTAAAATAATAAGACCACAAAAGCACTGCTGAAGGCAATTGCTCGAGTCTTAAAAAGGTGTATGGTAAACTGTGGAAGAAAATAGTAGGCAAACCCAAGTCATCAAATCCAGATGTTCTGCCATTCTGCTGAAAGTTATTTGCAGAGCAGAAAAAGATGTTCTGGGATCTTGGCAATGGCAGGACATGAGCAGCGATGCATAAAAATAGACCACCGACATGTGTTCAGCACCTTCTTCATACATAACATGGTTTCTTGGGCCTGTTAATCTGTGGCTGTATACCTCAAATAGATGGTGTGCTAAAGCAGAAGTAGATGCATGTTGATGGCCTTTGCGTTAATTTTTAATCATTCTTTTCCTGGAAATTTGAAGAGTTTTCATTGAGTCTTTTCAGTAAGAGAGGCGTCGCTCAACGTGGGTCTATTTCCAAGCTTTTGCATCCCTTGTACTTTATGCCAGGGAATGTGTATCCTGGTTGGACAGCTTCCCTGTGTACATTTGTGTATGGACTGATGGTAAACTTGATGGCTACTGATGCTGAGAAGAGTATTTCTGAGGCTCTGTGTATACTGTGCAAAAGTATACAGTCTTCTCAAAATGGTGTGAGAAGTCATGCGAAGCTTGCAATGCTGGAACATTTGCAAGTATTTAAATAAATGAGAGTAACTTGCTTATTCCAATCATGGTAGGGCTTTCTCTTGAAAGGGAAGCCTTTGTCCTATTTGTGTTCAGGGGATGAGAAAGAGAGAATGGCTCTCTCTTGCGAGATAAAAGGAGTATTCCCTAGAAATCTCGTGTGTCAACCAGGGGGAGACTTCCTGAAGGGGGAAGCTTATGTGAGAAGAGTTGATTTTTGTCACTAGTGGAACCGCACCATGTCGGCGGGCCTCCAGCGGGAGACGGCGTTCGTTTTAGGCTCGTCATACTCAACAGTGAAATGCTGGGTGAGGTCGGTGGTAGTCACAATAGTTTGCTAACAGTTCTTGGCAAAACGGAGACTCCTAAGAAGACAGGATAAGAGAAGCCCCAGAGACCCCAGTTCTGCAGGAAGGGAGGTGCTCCCAGAGCCTGGCATTTTGTTCAGGGGGGCAAGACCCAGCAGAGACAAAGAGCCGGTGACAAGGTTAACTTCTGCGAGATCTCTGAAGCAGTAACGTCCTTCATTTTGGAAGATGACTCCCTCATCCTCTGAGTGCTTCTCATCTTCAAAGCATTTTATAAACAGCTCATTAAAATAAAACACCACTTCGGCTTGGCAGAGGACAGCAACCCAATAGGGTGCTAGAGGAAAAGGTGTGGTGTAGGGACAACAGTCAGAGGTGAGCAGAGAGCAGAACAACCAGTCCCAGAAAAACAGAAATGCATTGGAAAGAGAGCTGTTAAGGATGTTTCCCAATGGAGAGCATCACAAAAAGGCCTTGCTCGGTTGATTCAGATCAGTCTAATTTTATGAGCCAATTTGAGATTTATAGCTTTCCTGTTGCATACTAGAGCAAATTCAAAGCATGTCTTCTAAACAGAGTGTTCCCTTGCTGTCCTGACCATATATAGAAGCAAAACCATATTGGCAATTAAAACCATGAAGCCTGCCAAGAGATAGGCAATCCAAATATATAGGGGACAAGGAAAAAACCTGCCTTTTATGGCCTTGGAAAAGTTGGCGTGATCGATAGCCTATATATACTACTTGAACGTACAGCTTTGGCAGTTGTAGTGACATTGGAGATCTTGCAGTAAAAGTTTGATTTTTTTTTTAGGGGTAAAGAAGTGTGTGGATTTTCACCTGTTTCAATCCTCTGTTGCACAGCTGAATTTTATTTTTTTTGTTGTTGCTCAAACTAGCTGCCTATAAATCCTCTGCAAAGTTGACATCCAAGTTTATATTGAGCCTTAGTGTTCTCTGCTATTACTCTATTTCCTGGATGTTTCTGGAACTGAGTCATCATTTGCTAGTAGCTTGTGTTCCTTCAGCACGCCTGACATTGCACATACGACCAAATAACAATAAAATAACCAAAGAAAAACAGAATGCAATGGAGGCATAGTGAGTCTGAGTTTCAGAGGTGCTCATTTATCTACAGTGCTTGGTACAGTCAGGGAAGGGGCCAAGTTATCAGCACCTTCAGAAATCAGAACTGTGGTGGGTAAAGCTCATCTTAGCTTTTTTGGAACAAGAGATGCCAGCCGTCACAAGTAAATGATGATAATTTATCCCTCTTAGCTGAAATACATGCAAAGGCTTTGCTGTTTATACCAGCAAAATATTGCAAAACCTTGGCTAAGGGCCTACTTGCTAGCAATGCTAAGTGGCCGTCTCTTCTTATATGGACAAGGCCAAGGTTGGTATGGTCAACATGGGTTATTGCAACTCTAAAAGAAGATGCATTGGATGTAAAATAGGGCTGTGGTGACTGGAAATACCATTGATTCAGCCAGCCTTGGGATAACCTCCCAAGGAACCCACTGCTGATCATAGATCCGTGTAGGAAAGCAACAGAAATGCTTCTTGTCCTCCATCGAGAGCAGGTGGATCTTCCCTGCGACTTGCATCTCTCTGTGCCGGCCTTGCTGAATGTTGTCCTTTAGTAACCGAGCATCCTCCCTCACCGCTCAGCCTGAGACAAACCATGGTCCCTATTTTTGTTTCATAAAAGTCTGTCTTCCTTCTTTCCTGTTTCTGTAGCTGCCAATTAAAAATAAAAAAGACCTCCGAGTCCAGTGTAAATCAAATGCTTCTTATCCTTCAGAATTCCAGTATCTGCAAAACTGCTGTGCATGCAGGGATCATTACCGACGGGGAGGGTGGTTACGTGGATGTGATGCCTGTGGATAAGAAGAAATACTACAATGGCTCTTTGAAGAATGGAATCAAGTCTGAGAGGTAGGCTCATTTTCCTTTGAAGTTTTGATGACCAGTTTCATGCTAATGTCAGTAGGCGATGCAGATGATGCCTATTAAAATAGTCAAGTAAATACTGTCACTAATTTTTGAAAGAGCGTGGAGGGGATTTTTAAACTTTTTTTTTTGCAGTGGTATATGCTGTGCTCAGCTTCCAAATGCACAAGTGGGACCCTAATTGTGGGAGGTCCATGCTCAGTTCCCTACATCTGTGGGTATATTCATGCCAGCTTCATGCCACTCTCAAGGCTAGTGCTGAAAGATAAGCTCTACCCGCTTCCTCCCACTCCACATGATCCTTACCTGGGACCAAAGTGATGGGGACACTTGAGGAGTGTCTGACATTGCAGCTCTTGAGACCCATCTCTTGGCATCTTGCAAGTGGCTACCAGAGCATCCTCACCCTGCATTGGTGGGTTTGGAGTGAGCGAGCAGGGATTGTTTTGGCAGCAGGCTAAAGAAAGGTGCAGGACCAAGGTCACACATACCTTGCATGATCTCAGGCAGGTCAATCAGTCTCTCTGCCCCTCAGTTCCTTATCAGTAGAATTGGGATAATGGCCTCAAAGGTGTGTTGTAGGGAGGAGGACTTTAAAAACTATGAAGTATTTAAATGTGCCAATAATGGAGGCGGGAGAGGGATGTGCGTAAGTACCATAGTTGGATGGCATCTCTATCCTGGTAACAGGAACAACGTAGGCATGGCCAATATAATTTCATTCACGTCTTTTCACTTGGGGTTTGCCTATTGTGTTTTAACCAAACACACAAACTGGGATGAAGTTGTTCAGATTTAGGTCTTTAATACTGATTCTTTGAGTCATTTCATGTCAGCCATGAAATAGACATCTTGCAGTGATAAATGTTGGCCCCTACTGGCCTGGGTTATTTTGGGAGATGAATCAAAGATGAGAAGAAAAAAAAAAAGATTGTATGCTACATTATCCCAGTTCCTTTCATCTCTCTTGCATAATTTTTCTTATGAAATATTCCAAAACCATGCTATTTTTACTCTAATAAATTCATGTCTTAGCATGCAACAAAGCGTTCCAGAAGGAGCAATGGGAGGAAATGGTAGATGTTATGCAGCAGCCTAATTCTATCAGGGTCAACGTTTCTAGGGCTATGAGAACACAAAAAGATCTATTTAATTTAACAGAGTTAGTTTGCTTAAGGGCTTGGAGTAGTGTCCCAGACCTCTCGGGGTCTCAAGGAGCACCGAGTTTCTTTTGGCAACAGTTAACTTGCTCTAACTAATGCACTGATAAAATAAGCTCATTTCATGTCTCCATTATACTCATAGCATAACTTTACTAGCTGTATGACAAATGTTGGCCTAGATAAAAGGGCACTGTGGTGCAATATCAGGTGCTGACCCAGGGGTGGCTGGGCCCTGGAGAAGTTTTATCACATCAGGAAACAGCACAATGTTTTGGAAAGGAAAATTTAGGCTGACTAACAAGGACACCTAATGATGAGAACTAATTAGCTTATCAGGGAAAACTATGAAAGTCTTATCCTTTTGTTAATTAAAGCTAGCCTATCCAAGGAACTCGAAATATTCTGTAAAGATGTAGAGAACAGGGTTTCTTATAAGATTAACTGTACTTCCTGATTGGCAACCAAACTGCAGGGAAAAAAAGGAAAGAACAACCCCCCCCCCCCCCCCCCCCCAAAAAAAAAAAAAAAACCAAAAAAAACCAAAGCATAAATTCTGTCTTTCTTCTGGGCTTTCGTTTCCAATCCCAGCTGGAATCAGGAAGTGCGGATTGGAAATAAACAAGTCAAAGCTCTCGGAGGCCTCTTTGAACCCTGAGTTCAGGTTATATGTGAAGCTTTATTTCCATTCTTTTTTTATCCAAGCAAATTCAAGTCTCCTATTGCCCTCGTCCGGAAATTCAGCCCCTCTGGGGAAAGGATATTATGTCAAGCTTTCTCAGCAATGGGCAAGGGGAATCATTCTTTGGGAAATGCGTTCCCCGTTATGTATGAACCACCCAAGAACACCCGCTTACTGTTCACCGTGCACCCTTGTGTTAGTACCCAAGTCCCTTTGTTTGGTGACACGAGCCCCGAAGAGCTCGTTACAAAGCATGACGTTAGCATGAGTCACTGCATTTCTGCCTCTTAACTTTTCTCTCTCTTTATCCTACTATGTACTCCCTCAGTGCACTGAGGAATAAAATATTTATTCAAGCAGGTCAGAGCCTCGGGAGGACCAAAAGCAGAAAGTAGCCTGGAAAATCAGCTATGCGCTGATTCAGAGCATTGCACGAGGGTGAGGAAGTTGAAGTCTAACAGAGCCTCCCACGTCGGGAGTCATAGGAGCCCAGGTGCTTCAGCAGCTCAGGACAAAGATGTGCAAAGATGCTGTTGCAATTAAATAATGAGTTGGCACCACCACTTTCCTTTCTGGCCTGGGCAGCTGCTATACCACCACCTTTGGTTCACGAGGCCTTTTTCTCTTTCAGCTTGAAGAGTCCTAGAGAGGGGAAGGCTTTCCGGATTTTTGCTGTTAAGCAGTAAATTCCCGAGGACGTTGCCAAGTACCTTTCCAAGAGTGATCCACTGATCTCAACACACAGGAGCGCTCAGCTGATGGCATCTGCTCTGGCATGTATACCCTCCCGGCCAACCTCTTTCAGGGAAGAAAAGAACAAGTCACCAAGAAGTTCCGACTCAACTGTCCGCATCTCAATGGCATCAGTTCAGTGTTGTTGGTTTTTTTTTTAATTATTATTATTATTATTTTGTTTTGTTGGTTTATTTTTTTAATCCTGGGGCATTCAGCAATAACAGACTGGTGTATCTTTCCATTTGAAAAGAGGCGTGATGACCACAGCAAGCATGGGTTAACTTTCAATCAGCATAGAAGTCTTCTATGGGCCCCCATCTAGTACTTCAGCTTTCGAAGTTCATGCTCATATGGCAGTGACGGCACATCTCGGCGAGCAGAATCAAAAGTGAAATATTGTACAAGGGGTGGGCCCTTTGAAATACGTTCTTTTAAAGTCACGGCTCTTTCAGAGGTGGGGAGCATGGTTTCTTTGGAAGCATGTTTAGTTCGTTTGATTTTTAAAAATTTTTTTTAAGAACAACCCATTTTTGTCTTCCTAGTCAGGTAACATGTGCACAAGAAATGTTGAGGTAGATTGGTGATGTGTTGCATTAGGTCAAGTAAATGATGATGTCACGTGCGGTAGGACATCCGGAGAGGGCTGAAAGATTCCTGGAGTTGAAATTCCTTGGAAAATGGTATGAAAGCATGTAAAGGGGGCAAAGATCCCCCTGCTCAGAAAGTGAGGACCCCAGAAAAACCAAACTGTGGGTTTGGTGTTTGCTGGTCAAACATTTGCAAGTGCTTAGCGCATTGGGTGACCCATAACAAGTTGAGGAATTAGTGCTCCTGTCCTGGCACATCTCCAAGTTATACTGCGCACCATTTTTTATTTACAGTTAAATGCAATTTATTGTTCTATACAGCAGTGCTGGTTTTATATGTAGTAATTTAGCAAGGATAAAATGTTAATCTTATTTTTGTTAGACATGGGTGCATCCATGTAAAGCATCTTCACTTTAACCCTAATGGAGATATTTTGTACAGTTCTGAGGCTTTAAATATATGGAATGTAAGGGGGCTGGATCATGACCTTGCATACAGTTGGTATGATTTCCAGCATGATGATTATATCTGTGAGCATTCAAGGTGTTGGTTGTTTTGGGCTTTTTTAAGTTTTTAATTTAATTACTTTGTGATTTCAGATTTTGCTCCCAATAGGCGTGTCCTGAAAAGCGTACCCGTGTGGTTTGCAGTGCCACAAGCTCATTCGAGTACAGTGCATGTGAGCCCATTTGCCACTCGTTCGAGTGCATGTGAGCCCATTTGCCACGTTACTAATTAGCAGCATGGCATTTTTTTTTTGACACTGGAAGATCCTAGTGTCAAAACCCCCCCTGCTACTAAAAAAAGCAGCATAGTGCGTTTGCCACGCTACTAATTAGCAGCATGGCATTTTTTTTTTTTGACACTGGAAGATCCTAGTGTCAAAAACCCCCCTGCTACTAAAAAAAGCAGCATGGTGCGTGCAGCAGCAGCATACATTGCCAGAAACGGAGCCTGGCTGGCCAGAGCCATGCTCTGGGTGCCAGCAAGGCTCCAAACAGCAGGCTTGGCACCACTGCTGCCCCGGGGGGCTCCCAGGATCCTAGGTAAGGCTGCCAGGACCAGCACAGGTGCTGGCCCCCATCAGCCCTACCCCACCCAGGTCAATTTGCTGCATGCCAGAGCACATGTGCAGGGTGTGCCCAGGGACAAATAGCATCGGCACAAATATGTGCCGCTGCTATTTGTCCCATAGGAAATGCACGCCCCTGCATGTGCGTGCTCGTCTGGATGTGCCCAACAGGTGTTTAAATATTTTGCATAGAAAATAAGCCCCCACAGTAGCCCATTATAATATGCTCTTTAAGGTCAAATAGAAATCAGTGATTTATAGCTGAAACTAATTGCTCCCACACTCTCAGACCAGTAGCATTGATCTAAGCACAAATCTATTCTTCCCTTGAAGAAATCCTGTGAAATATGAACTTTCCTTTCTACCCAGGAGAACTTTTCCGATCTTTTCTCCAATGCCTGATGAAGGGTGTTTGTGCCCGAAAGCTTGCAACTAAAGACTCTTTTTTTGGCAAAAATCTTTTGGTCTAATAAAAGATATCACCTCTACTACGAGTCCTGATTTGCCTTTTCCTCTAGACCAATCCGGCTACAACCTGGATACCTTCTTCTCTCCATACACATACCCACATTAACATGAAGAAGGTTGCAGAACCTTTAGCTCTTTGGTTGATATGAACCTATAATCCCCTTTGCTCAGTTACTCATTTGTAGTATGAAGCATATGGGAAATATTTCACTCGACCTATTCTAATTCCATTATAGACTGAACGCTCATTTAATGTTTAAACCTCACAAATGCAGCGAGAAAAATTAAGTTCATCAAGCAGTTTGCCTCACAATCGAGGTTGCCTTTCACTGCAAAATTTGAATTTAGAAAAAGTCCTTCTGTCACATTTGAAACCTGTCATCTCTAGCAGTTACACATGGTGAGCCCGCCTTTGGGATGGCCACGGAGAATTAATTTAATATGTTTTCTTTATTTATTTAATGTGGTCTTCTAAGGTGTGCAGTATTTGCTTCAGATAGTAAGGAGAACCAATTAATTTGTCTGTGTGAGCTGATGTTAAAAACAGCTGTAAAGCATCTGAGAAAAGTGCTTAGTTGGAAGTGTTTGACATCATGGCAGGGAGAGAAGTTGGGCTTCCTTGTTGCTGTCCGCTATAAATAATATGGCTACAGGCTTTCTAATTCAAGCCCGCAAAATACCGTAGCATGACACTTTGGCCCCCACATGTCAAAAGGGAATAACAATTTCTGTTACTGAGGGCAGAACTGGAAAGCAAAATAGGTTCAATTAAATGCCCATTGGGAGGTTTTGTGTTGACTTCATGATTATTGGATTGCATCATATTCAGCAAAGTGGTACATCACAATGGATGTGGAGTGTCGGCACTTGGTTATCCTGTCCACGGTAATCACTTATTTTATAAAATGATGGAATGAAATCTGAGATGGGGAGGGAAAGA